TGTGAATGCACGAGAGCGAAGCGATGAGCATGCAGTATGGGAACTCCGCGGCGCTCCTGGTCGGAACGAGAGTCACCGGCGAGCGATGATGGGGGGCCCCCCGGGCGGGGCAAGGTGGGGCAGGGCGGGGGGCGGCGGGGGCACCTCGTCCGGTGCGTGCCGGCGTGCCGGCCAGGCCCGCCCGTCCCGTGTATGGCGTTGGCAGCTTGTTGTAATGCCGAGCCACGCCGAGCCACGCCACGCCGCACACGCTGGGCCCCGCGGGCCTTGAACTTGCCCGCGGCGCGGCGGAGTCATGGCGGCGGCGGCGCTGGAGCCTCGGCCGGAGCCGGCCTGGGGCCGCGCTGGAGCAGGGTGATGGAGTGAGTGAGTGCATGGACGTACATGGCTGCGGGCCCGGCCGGCCCGGCCGAGTCCGGCGGGGACGAGCTGCTTCCGGGGTCCCTTCATCGTCCACGTCTCCATCACCTCCGAGCTGGTGCAGAGCTGCGGCGTCAGCTTCTGCTCGCGGCGAGCCCTGTTGCGCCCGGCCACGCCCCGCCCCACCGCCTTGCCCCGCCCTTGGCCCCGCCGAGCACGCCATGGGGTTTGTTCCGCTGGTTCCGTCTTACAAACGGACGGCCATTCCATTTATTTTCGTCTTTGCCGGATTGACGGGCTGCTGTGCTCTGCTGCAGGGCAGAGGGCGCCGGCCTCCCTCCACTAGCCTTGTTTGCGTCCGTTGACACCCGCGCCCCGCCCTGCCTTCGCTTTTACCTTGCCGACTGAAAGCTGCCCGTCTCGCTCTCGGTACGCCGCCGGGCGGGGCGGGGTGGGACGGGCCGGTCATGTTTCTGTCAAAACTTCGCGGAACGCCCGCGCGCCGCCGTCACCGCCGCCGCGGCGGACGACTCGCTCTTCTCGGACGTGTGTGAACGCCCCCAGAAGTGGCTTGACACTTGGCTATGCTCGGCGGCGGTAGCCGGGTCAGGCTTCAGAGGCCGTGACACTCTGACCCAGATGTGGTCGGGGCGGCCCGGGCTGGGCTGGGCGGCTGGCCGCGGTGGGATCGGGGTGGCCGCCCCGCCCCGCCTCGCCCTGTTAGCCTTGCAGTCGCGGGTGGGGCGGGGCTGGCGGGTGCAGCGCCCCCCTCCCCTTCTCTTTGGCCGCAACCCTTAACGCTCGACCATACAGTTGTTCCTTCTAATCGCCCGCTGGCTGAGCTCTCGCCCCCTCTGTACTGTACGGATCGGACCGGCACGGCCGCTCCGCTGGCAAAGGCCGTGATCGTTTTACAGTTAAGTGCCCCAGGCCGCGGCCGGGGGGCCGACCTGCGCCTGAGCAGCAGCCCCGCGACGCACACGCGCGGACATTGCCAAGAATTTTTGTATCTGATTATTTTTGTTATTTATTTTTCTTTTACACGGTGGAGCATTGTTCCCGGTGTGTTGTCTTGTCGCGTCGAGCGCCGAGGAGCCTGTGGAAATGTTTTGTGTTGTTGATGCGGAATGGAAGTCGGGATGGAAGGAGCCGCGTGGGGCGGGGTGGGGTGTGGCGGGGCGGGACACAGGGCGCGGGGTGCGGGCTGC